TATATTTTTTTTTTTCTTTTTTTTATATATATATATGTATTTTTTATATATAGATGCACCATACAGTCTTACAGAAGACTGGTCTCCTATGGCTTTCTTATGTCAAACTTGTGCTCATCTTCAAAGCTATTTGTAAGCAGAGTTTTGTATTTCTCCTATATGCAACTCCACCCTTCCTAGCCCTGGCTCATTTTGTACCCACACCGCTCCGCATATTTATTAGGGCTCACTCACCTTCCAGGACAAGCTTTCATCCTGGAGCTCCAGGATTACAAAACCTGCTTGATTATACAGAGGCAACAAGAGATGGCAACTGCTGTTTTTCTACTCTGCCTCCACACACTCTTGTTAGCTCATATGCTCCTGATACACTATTGTCCTGGATGTACAGGATCATCTTTTAGTCGATGACATAAAACTACTCAAACCCACCACCAAATTAATTTGGTTATATATTGTTCTTTTTCTGCAGCCATTTGATTATGTCTCTCAAACTTTCTATGGAGGAACTATTTTAACCCATTTCTTGCAGCAGAATTCCAAACCAGCTCTCACTGTGGCCTTTGAATACTGTCACACATAATGAACTTGTGATTTATATGATAAAGGAAAGTAGATAACAGTAAGAAGGAGTAAGATAAGGAGGAAACTTTGTGAGGCAATGTTTTCAGCAATATTTTGAATAAAATTAATTTATTCTAACTACTAATCCCAGTTAGTCTAGTATTAATTACAGCAACAGGGAAAACACAAGCCAGTACACCGTGCCTCAGTTTGGTGAAGTTTACTATTGTGGCACTTGGATACCGATCTGATTTCAGAATACTATTTCAGAATAAACTAGATACATTAAAACTAAGGTTCTTCGTTTTTCCCCTTTCTGTCATCTGCAATCAACCCCCTGCCAGTAAGAGAAAGGGACTGGCAGGAGCAGCAGCCTCCTTTAATAACATATCCAAGACTCTGATCTTACTCTGTGATACAAAAAAGGAAATTGCCTGGCTGTAATCTCACCAAGGGCAAGAAAGGCACTCGTGAGCGCTGGCTTACTGTGCTACCGCTAGAAGCTCCCGTAGAAACATTAACCCTATTTTGTGTATGTGATACCTGTTACAAAAAGCGTAACACTGCTTAACCTGATTTTTTTTCTTCTCTGGATTTAATTCTCATTTATGCACTGTATTCCCATTAAATAATTTATTATTTACAAGCTTCAGATATTCCCTGATATCAGGAAGGAAGAGGAAGCTGCTTAAAGGTATCTGCTGTTGGCATTAGCCAGACTGGCAGGCCCAACAGACGACGCAGCCACAACAGTCGAATACGCAGATTTTTATCAAACTATCTTCCCTTCAAACACGATGCCTTCTCTACTAAAAAGCCTTTGTTATGCTTACCTCGTTTTCACATCTACAGGGATTTCTTTCTTGATACTTGTTAGAAGTTTTTTAGTTTTCTGTTTTACTTGGACTATTTCATTTTCAGGTTTTTCTGGTATAACTTTTCCCTTTTGCTTTTCAGGTTCCTGTAAAAGATGTTATAATAACATGTTAATATTCATGGCAGTCAAGTCCCTCTTGCATCACAACATACATAGTATAAATAGGGCTGAGGAAAGAATGCTATTTGAAAACATGAGCATTTTTGCAGCATCGAAGGTATCCTTTTTACTACCTACTGAGTATACCTATAAAACGTGGTATCTATTTTTCCCTATCTGGAGAAGCAGAAATCAAAATACCTAACAAATTAACATGCTTCAAGCAGATCTGATGTTTGCAAATAAATACACAGCTCCTCAGACCATGGCTTCCAACTCTACTTAAAAAGATGCTGGCTCTGTACTGAGACCTATACTGCATCTGTTGTATGCAGTCCAGGACATCTAAAACAGACTCTTCTATGAAGTAAAGAATATGAGCAACTTCACCATTCAATTTATTTATTTTTTCTTTTAAACCGCACTTCTAAGGCTTTCTGAATACAAGTATACCGTCAAATAGCCATCGTGAAAAATCAAAGGTGATTTTCAAATGAAAGCTTACTAGACCTTAACTTTTAAAATATATTATATGGATTTCTTTTCTTTTTCCCCCCAGCTAGAATCCCTATCTTTCCCAAAGTTCAAATTTAAGACATGTCAAAATTTAGGCTTAGTTTTCTTCTCTTTGTGATTACCTTTGCTTTGTTTGGTTCCCTAGCACATGCTTTAGGACAAAATATTTAAGACAACCTGACCACTACACAAATCATTAGAGCTTCAGTTTATTGCCTAGAAGCATGTAAGCCGAATGAGCAAAATAAAGGTAGCGGTACTGTCAAAAGTAATGAAGTTAACTATCTGCTGACAAGTTACCACCACTGAACTGGCCCTTTGTAACTGATGAAATGCATGGTTTTAGCATACACCTTAATTATTGAGTAAAATTAGTGTCCATACTTCAGCGTTTTATTCTGCAAATAACATAGGCTCGGAGCGTGCAGAGACAATTACCACAGTGCTGCTGACAACTGGTGGCTTATTCAAGCCACAGTCACTCAGGCACTTTCAGTCCTATGACTACATGATTCAAGCATGTTCACACTCAGAGGAGCAAATTTTACAGAGAAGAAGTGAAGGCAAGTATTGAGAAAGATGTTTTTTAATTAGCATTCTTCCTTTGTTCGGTATGGTATATGAAAGCTGGGGGAGGGGCGAGACTATATTCCTGCTCTAACAGGTGAGCCACCAGCTACACTGGAGCCTCCCTTTATGAGCGGTGCCGTACCTCTTTGAGAAGTGGTTCGGTATCTGGGTTGGAGGTTTCGGTTGTGGTTGAAGAACTGTCATCATCTGCCAAGGAATCCTTCAGTTCATCCTCCTGTTGCTTTCCTTTCCCTCTTCTATCCTTTTCTTCCCGCTTCTTCTGTGGCTTAGCCTTGCGCTGAAGCGTTTTCCCTTTCCCTAGGGAGATAAGGATGCTTCAGATTCTCAGCAGCAGCACTCCAAGATGGGCTAGTTCACTTCATGCTAGAGGCTGACCCACGTGATTAAGCCTCTGAAGTTTGTCGCCTGTTATGATACACCAACCATTTACAGCCACTTCACATCAAAACCGAGCAATAGCATCAAACCTGAAGAACCCTGATCTCCACCATTGCATTTACGCTCCTGAGCCCTACCTCCACTGCCTCTCTGTAGATGGTGGGCACCTGGCTGCCTCTAATTCTTCTCTGCTCTGTTCCTGGCATTCCTTTTAAACACCTTAGAATGCAAGTTGACAGTTTCACCATGTAAGACTAGATTTAAACATGAACTTTAGAAGTTGGTACAAGCTTTATCATTCCAACAAGTGAAGAACAGAAACAATCAGCATGCTTGTCAGTTAGAAAACAACCTGCAGTAAGACTAGAGTGGATGAGAAAAATCACTAATAGTATTTGTCTAGCGAAGATGCAAAAAAACCAAACGCCCAAACCCTGAAATCTCACACCCAAGTATACTTTCTCCCCTCGACGTATTTTACTCTTTCAGAGTGTACTATTCTAAGAGGTATGACTAAGCTGAAAGTAAAACAGTTTGGCTTGACACATTAAAATGTTACTGCATCTCAAAGTAAGGAAAACAATGCGTTAAACACTCCAGGGGACATTTAATCAATTTTCTTGAAGCAAGCCACATATTAATAAATAATGCTACTTGAACAATTAAGTTTTTTCTGCAATTTCTACAGGCTAACTTAAATGTAGCATAGTATAAGTTCAAAGTGTAGAGGTTTAACAATCTTGAAAATCAAGCCAGAGGTCCCAGCTTGCAAAATAGGCAGGATGAAGCCCCCAGGGAGTAAAAAAGTTATCAGAAAAAGCATCAATACAGAGAAACTGTGCGTGCGCGCGCGTGGAGTCATCATTATCTTACCATCGCCTCTTGTTATTCTCTTACAGGATAAGAGCATTCACAATATTCTTACATCTTTCATTAGATGTAATATATGGCTTTACCAGTAAGATCTTTCTTAGATACTGCGCTTCAGACTAAGCATTCTCTAAGCCGCACAGTGCCTGCGTACAGCTTCCAGGATGGACCTAACAGTTCACTCAGGTAAAGACTCAGTCAACTTGTGCTGAGTAAGTGGATTCAGCCCCTACTGGGATTTGTACCAGCTCAAGTCAGAATTGAGTCTGGAAGCAGACTCAATAGCTGTCATATCTCATGTGGCAAAGTGTTCCTCAGGGGAAGTTTGTACCAAAACATAAACTTGCTTTCAGTATTTTGGCAAATACAAATACATATCAAAGGGCAGTCCTGCAAACTTTGGTTTTTTTCCAGACTTGATGTTTTCAGTATCAAGAACAACAAAAATATTGGAGATAAAATAGTCTTTTTAGTGTGCATGCAAATAAAAGTGGAAATACAAGATTTCTGTATGGAAGTTTTCCAAAGGTCAGCTTCCAGCTTATTGGGGGTACTCTGGTTTTGCCTCAGAAGGCCTCGTTCTAAGATTTGCTTCAAATTTAGTCTACTTTCAGGACTGCTGAACTGTTTAATGTTCACCATTAGAAAATCTATGTAAAATGTTATCATGACATAAAAATAGAATGTAAAGCAGCTGTTTAACAAAACTCTGACGTAGTCTCCGCAGCAGTTTGCTAGGACCCAAGTATTAGGAAGCTGAAACAGAAGACTAGATGGGAATCCTGCCCAGGACACTATGCCAGCCAGTTTTAGTCCAGAAGCTGCTGCTTCTGCAAATGTTTGTGAGTAGCTCTAGCTATTTCTCTAAAGTCAAATAGTGTCTGTATGTAGATCCAGACAGACAGCGGAACCTCCCCTAGGGTTTTACATTTTTAAAGAGGGCAAATGGAAATGGGCAAGTTTTATTTGATGCATTGAGCTTTTGTAAGTCAAGTTACAGTTTACAGATAATGTCGGGGTATTTTTATAAAGCTTGTCCAAAAAGCAGTCTACATGCATAAATCCAATTTATTGATCTAAGATGATGAAGAGGTCAAGAAAACTATCTGGATTGCAAAATGCAACATTCATAATATATTTTGCAATACAGAATATGTTTAAATATTCAGTATACCACCATGTCAAAACACAAGTGATGCAAAGCCTCTGTAACAGGAGGAAAAATGTGAATTTATCTGAATGAATTTGTAATCAGAAGAAAGTTACAAAACAAGAAAGTAACGCCAAAAAATGGAACCCATGTAAGTGCTTGCGATTTAAGTACTTCATCATCGTTTAAACGGCTTTTGAAATTGGTAGACCAATCAATAGAAGCACCCATCTCAAGAAAATGCATTTAAATATAGTTGAAAAAAATGCAGTCAAAGGTCTATCAACACTTAGAAGCAGCTATGCGCTAAGACAAGCTCCCAATACGTAGACTGCTAGAAATTGGTATAGGTACAAAAATGTTACTGTAGGTACACCACATTATTTGGATCAGGAAGATGCATTTGAAACCAACCTCAGTGGCCCCCACGTACTGTGTAGCGGCTGCATTGTACAGCAGTACTTGAGTGCAAGAGCTGGTTTCTTTTGAGGTTGAACCACAAATGGCAGAAGCGCTCCCAGCCCTTCAGGCATTCAGTGCACAGACTGGATCAGTCCGCCGTACAACTGCAGAAGCCTTACACAGACGCTGCACAGAGGAGCTATGGCATGTCCCCAGTTCCCAGACACGCCCCATGAGGACGTTGCATCCCCAGCACCAGCCATTTTGCTTTCCAGAGCTCCACTATTTGCTGTCATAGATGCTGCCTATGAAACCCACCTACAGTCACGTCATTTGCTGGTGTACCATTTAGCCTTTATGAGATGAATACCTGACAAACTGGTCATAATTCTCTTAAGACATTATACCGTGTATTACTTTGCAGACCACCTGACATCAAGGATTTTCTACCACTGCAAGTCTGGGCACGATGAATTCCATTCCCAAATAATACCACAGGGGTTTACCCACCTCTCCCTCTTCCCCTCCTCCCTCTCTCCCCATCTCAGTTTTCACAATACCAACCTCCCTTTCCTAATAATAACTTTCCTCAACCCTCAGCCCGGAGTACAAATGATGGAGGTGGGAGGGATGGATGCTAACCCAAAGGCAAAGGAGTAGCAACCAAGAGCATCTTTCTTCTTTAGAGGGTCAGATGTCTAACATTCACACTCGCTTTCATCAAAGTGTTCGAAAAATTTTGCAGGAAGAATCACAATCTGGCACTGCACGGAGAACTTTGCTGCCATAAAACAAATAAAGGAAGTGTTCAAGACACAGGCACATACAGCAGGGTAGGGAACGGCTGAGAAGCTCTCACTTTCCACACTATGAAAACGTGACCTTTACAGTCGATTAAATCTTGTTCCGTGGCTTACATAATGAATCATCCTGTTAAAAAAAGCAGAATGGTATTACCTTTGTTTTTTGCTAGCGGAGATGGGGGCTGCTCTGTAAACACATCTGGGGAAGGGGATTCTGGATGGTCAAAGTCTTTTTCCATAGTTTCTATGAGCCCAGTGAGATCGGAATCCTCCGAGCTGTGCCTTCTGCTACTGGCACACTCGCCGTGAGGCGGGCTGAGAAGCGGTAGCTGTGGCAAAGCACTTTCAGTCTGTTGCTCTTGCTGCTGGGGCCCGGATGCTGGGGGTTGCTGGAGGGGCTGCTCTGCCGAAGTTGGCACCTGCTGCTGTGTCGGCTGCTGGTTCTGCCTCGTGCCCTTGGCTCTTTTGCCTGTGGCATGAGTCTGAGCTGTGGCACTCGAATCCAAGGTGAAGGGGCCCGCTCTGCTCGCTGACTGCACGGAAGCTGCTTGTGCTGAAGTCCTATTAGGTATGCTTGAACTGGGTTTGGATTTGATGTTCTCAACATCAGGCGCGCTTCTATTGCTGTGAAGGTGTGCTGTTGCATTGCACTGTTTATGATTCCCTGCGCTGGATCGTGAAGACGAACTGCCTGCTCCATAGATCCCTCTGGATGAACTGTGATTAGAATCTGATCCAAGTGCATTCAAGCTGAAAGAACAAGTGTTTAAATACACTCTACAATGCTTCCATTCTTCCACATGAAAAAAGAACCACTATGTCCAAAAGAAACCCTGAACGACACTGTTCTTGGCATAGAACCAACAAAAATGCCTAAAACTTGTTTGACAAGTCAGCGGCCTTTGCCATGTTCACTTGCTCGCTGTACATACGAACAAACACACAGTAAGATGACAGTCAATATATAGCTTGGAGGGAACACTGAGAGATTTTTTTTTTTTTTTTTTTTTTTTTAACCTAAGACACCAAAGGTGGGAACTTCTGGCCTGCATTTTTTCTGCAGTCTTTATCTTTCATTTTTGAGAACATTAACAGGTTAACTTGACAGGGTTTGGTTTTGGTTGGGTTTTTTTTTTTTCTTTCTTTTTTTCCAATAGATGAATATTCCTCACAATCACAAAATCCATCTTTTTATCCAAGCCATCTTTTTATAAGTAACTGGGAGGACCTTTTTTCATTCACCTGTTCTAAAGAGCAGTATTACTTTCTTCCTGGCCTTATAACTAAAGAAAAAAAAAAAAAGGGAGAACACCCCACAAAACCCCCAAACATACACTTACTTTCCATCAGATGAAATTCCAACTATTCTCCTGAGATCAAGTGGCCTTCCCATATCAAAGGGAGGGTTTGAGGCCTCAAAGGACAAGCGTCTCCTAAATGGCTCCCATATTCCTTGAGCTTCTAGATAGGCTGTTCCAATTACCAAGAGAAAGAGCACACTGCAGAGAAGAGAGGCAGTCATCTAAGTATTTCTTAGTTTTGAGTATTTTAAGGTGAATGAATCTAATCACACAAATCAAAAAGTTTGTATCTTGTACTGAAAAACTGAAAACTGCATCCAGACCACAACTTTGTCTGGTAGAAACATAAAATATGCAAGTCTAGCATGGTATATACATCACTAATACCGAGAACGGAAGTTAGATACGAGTCTGACATGCAGTTGCGAAGAATATTAATCCAAAGGGGAAAAAAAAAAAAGGAGATATAATTAAAATATTAAAATAGCATCCAAGTGGTCAGCAGCTCTCCCAACTTGTTGGTGCAATTCCATTTTAAAAGCAGAGACCCTCTGTAGAGAATTGTACTGCTGCTCTGAGATGTAAACTTTAAGAGCATTATTTCAAGGAGTTTTACAACTAACTGCATCTGCTGCAATACCGTGTTTAGGAGTTCTCCACTTACATAACGCACTGCAGTGAACTATATTTTTGAATGAAGCAATAAAATCACTGCAGAGACCTTCATTGCACTGCTATCGATTTCATCTTCTAACAGGTGGGAGTTTTGGGGGGAAGAGACACAGTGATGATGACTAAAGCTTGCCTTGCCTATTACCCTAGAAAGCTCATAAGAAAAGAACTTTAAATTAGCAACTTCAGTTTCTGTTCTCCCCCCTGTTCTGACTGCCAGTTTTTCTAAGCTAAATGCATGAAAACCAGCATCAATTCACACAAAAGGACGAGATACCTCTCACTTAATTTTAGCTAGAAGAATCTAGTCTAGACATCGTCTTTTAAGTTTTACCTATCACCAAAAATACAAGCAACTCTGGAGACCAACTCAGCTGTTGATAGCTGGTTAGCAGTGCTTTCTGCCCCTGCCCCAGGGATTAAAAAGGATTCTAGATGCATAACCAGATGGCAGAAGGTAGAAAAGATAATCTTCATCCAAGATGTTAACAAGCAACAGAAAATTTAAAGAAACGGGAATTTTCCAGACAAGCTTACACAAACTGTTACTCAAAAGAGTAATGCTTGCCTCGGGTGCCATGCCATCAAAAACGGAAATACCTTTGGGATGTAAGGAATAAGGTATAATCTCTTTCACTTGTCAGTTGTAATCCCTGATGCTATTTGAAAGTTTCACAAGGCTGATACCAACAAGAGCACCACGTCTCTACCACCATAGTGCTACACAAACTTGGGATGGAGCGCACAGGGTTTTGGTGGGCTGGGTGGGCACTCTTCCCCCTCAGCCCCACAGCACTCCCCTCACGGTACTGACGCTGGGCTCCGCTGGGTTGCACAGGGGACACTGCAGCAAAAGGGCACCTTAAGGGCTTCTCCTCCTCTGCCACTCTCTGAGTAAGGGCCCTACTCCCTCTACATAAGCCAACTTTGGTGTTTTGATAAACAAACACCAGCTTTGAAATGAAAACCAGAACAAATCTTGGTTTGTGGTCTTTTTAACTGCACTTTCTGGTTTTGGTGTGGTGGAAGCAGTGGTGGTTGGGGTTTTTTTGCTTTTTAAAAAAATTATTTAAAAAAAGAAAAATCTAACCAGCCTAAAGCGTTCATGTCATTTAAATGACAAAACGAGTTAGTGTGAGGAACACCACACAGTGGGGAGTAACATGGTCTAGACACCCAAGAATGGTCTTGGTACATCCCTCTTTCCCCTCATGGTTTTATCCTGCGGCGCACATATGCCTAGTTGGTAAGTTCCTCACAAAAAGACTGGCTCCTTTGTTGTGTTTGTACATATCCTATCCTATCGCGTTGGACTTCAAAACTTGGAGCCACAAGTATGGTAACAATCCAAACCAACAGTGATTTAGGGAAGGCAACAATAAACACCACTTTATCAAATTAGAAACATGAACTAGACAAACTCCTAGAGTTGTTCATTCCTAGAAATTAAGGATAGCTTTGCAACAATATGGAAATATTGTTTTAGTGGCAACTAGCAAACCCCTATGTGATGGCACCCTAAAAGTTAGAGGCTGTCTGTGCACAGGAACTCGGAATATTATGAAATGGTTACATGAAGACTCTTCTCTAGTTTGCTGCTAAGAAGGATGTTTTGTACTTGTAGGAAAAAGACACAGTGAGGGAAAGGATTAGTATTCTGTATTCTTTTGTAAAGTCCAATTAACAAATACAGTACACACAAAATTATCCATGCAAACTACACTTACAGGCTGACAAACGTTATTCACTCTGTCAATAAACTAAAGAGAAACTAAGCTGATAAGTTTCTAGCAAATATACAGAAGAAAACCACTTAAGTACTTACTCAGCGTTTTCCTAAGTAATACAGTGTTAGCTAGGAAACAAAATTTGCTAAGTAACAGAATTTTTCCTGTTACTTTGGAAAAATGCAGTTTCCTAGCTAACACTGCATTACTTAGGAAAGTACTGAGGTGTCAAAAAGGAAAATGAAGCAGGCTGCAAGTTTATTTCTTTTATCAATCCCTAGAAGGAAAGACAGCCTAACTAAACATTTATGTAATACAGTACATCAAAGTAGAAAAGCTAGTATCTTAACATGAAAAAAAAAATGCAGGAATATTACACGTGTGATAATGCTTTGGTTTTCCAGCACACAGAAACACCACTTTGTCATCACAGGCACCTACAGCAGCAATCCATCTCACTAAGATACGAGCTTAACACTGACGAAGAAGGAAAACGGCATTTGTTGTTACTGATAAGTAACAACTGACAGTGATAAGTTTCTATGCTGGGGTTTTCTCTGGATAAAGGCAGTGGGGGAAAGTTTCTTGCACCCAAGAGGTGAGCAGGGACACATTGTTTATAACCTCAGATTTCAAATAAATATAGATAGGTAGAGGTTAGACAAGGAAAACGCAGTGGAATTTTCAACTCATATTTCAACCAGTCATAGCTAACATACATCTGTTTGCTGAGGAAAAAAAAAGTGCATTAACATGCTGCTATGTAACCTCTGAGTGTGCAGTGTTGCAAACAATGCCCTCCAGGTTCTCCGAAATCCCATTATTAGTATCACCAGTTGTCTGTCACATACAAGTGGCAGCAAAGTTAAATTCATCCAAGGCATCTGTTAAGCTTATTACAGGCACTGCCTCCTATCTCTTCAAAGCACAATAATCCAGAGAGATGCTTAAATTTCTATGGTAGTTCACAGTTAGCAGTGCTTTAATACCTAATTTGACTCAAGTTTGGCTTAATTATTTATCAGAAACCTACACATTTCCAGGGTTAACAGGAGTATGTATGTATCTCACTTAAAGAAATAGGCCCAGCAATAAGTATATTATTTTGTCCTCAGTTTGAGCAGAAAGTCAGTACTCCTCAGCCTTAAACTGTTTACACTCAAGCCATAGGAGCATTTATTAAATTGTTCTTTTTCTCCTCACCCTATTTTATCTTACAGCAATTACAGCACATACTGAATACCTATATACTTCTCTGTAACCTGTATTCAAGCAGCGGTAGTTCACGCACGTAGACCAGTAAGAACAAACATATACACACTACCTCATTATTCCTGAGATGATTATGTACAGTGCCAATTCCCAGTTGGGCCTGGGTAGCGCTTCTGCACACGTTGCTAACATGTGATATGGAAGGGAGGCATTCAAGATAAATATGAATTCAGAGCCTCCCGCAGTGATGAATTTTAATTCACGTATGACTCTGGAAGCAGTGAAATCGGGTGTAAACCTGAAAACAAAGTAAAGCACGTTAGAACTTTTCATATGAACAGCATGTAAGTTTGACATCATTTATGTTAATCATAAACAATAAAAACCCACCCACAAGCTCCACCAATGACTGCCATGACTGGCATCCCAATCAAACATTTGTAACAAATAGCCCGAGTAGTATGACTAATAATCATCCATGCAATTAGCCTAAAAATACTTATGAGTATCTTTCGAGTACCTCAGGATGCGTTTGACTAAGTTCATAAACACCTATGCTTAACACATATGCTACACCATATGAAGATACATTATAATAACTGAAATTAAGTTTTGACCAAATCTGTTAAAAGAAAGCTATGAATGCAGTAAAAAATTAACAAGAGCTGTAAGTAAGCAATGGAACAGACCATTATGCGAGCTATAAAGTTTTTAAACACTTCAGCTTTAAGTCACAACTGCAAGCCTTTTCAAAAACATCACCACTATGTTCCTGTCTCATCACAAACTAAGATTGTTGCAGAAATACTAGTGAAGTTTCGCTGCCTGCAATATCTTTTTTTTTTTTTTTTGGTTATTTTTTTAGGTTGGAAAAGACCTTTAAGATCATCCAGTCCAACCATTAACCTAACACTACCAAGTCCACCACTAAGCCTTGTCCGTCCTCTTGCAGAACAGAAGTATCTTCTGAAATTTTTAGATACCATATTCTGAATAGTTAAATTTAAATCCAAGCAGTGTTAAGATGATCAGGTTTTGGTGCAGATACATTTTACAATAAAAACTGACAGAACTAAACAAGCATTATCATTAAGGCAACAGACAAAATATGCAAGACTAAAATGCTGTGCATTATGGTAATAATCCTTAGACTCAAGTCTCTTTTCTACATACCATTCAAGGCACCAAAAACATATGTAAATCTAGATCCCACATGCATTCACAACCCAATGAAGTGAATGTATAAAACAACCCATATAGTAACACTATCCCAGCTCAGTAAGTGACACTTACTGGATAGTAATAAAAGTGATACTATAGTCAGTCATGAAAACTTGAAGTTATTTAAAAATCAAATAGTGTTTGCAAGAAGAGAGAGAAAAAATTCATGGTTTATGCTGTATTAAAAAAAAAAACCCAAACACTCAAAGCTTAAGTAAAAAACCTCAGAATTTAACCAACAGTTTTCTTCCGAACCAGAATTAGGTATACAGAATTCCTAATGTAAGGCTCCATTTAGATACAAGAAAAAACACTTACAATATGACAATGTCTTTAGAGGCATTGGCACTTAGTGCAAACTCATGACAGTTAACTACTTTAAATCCATATCCTTCACATGTATAGCCACTGATTTCCACCGTTTTCACATTAATCTGCAGCTGCCCTGTATTTTCCACTTTAAATGTTCTTCTCAGTGTGAAATTCGGTTCTTTGTATTTCATTTCTAGAAACAAACAGCAGAAAGTGGTTAGTGTAATGCTGAACAGCTATCCTTCACTATATTCATATTCTACAGCAGAAGAGAGTTCTGTCAGTATCATAGCAGGAAAGGGGACTAGCGAGGCCCATGGAAATCTTTATGTGACCTGCAGAAACAGATCTCCGAAGCCAGATTCTCATCACTGTCAAGGTAGGGCACTTGTACAATTCCAGAGCGCTCAACTCATCAGCGAAAAACCACAAACCCCCAAACCTCTGATAGCACTGCTGCCTCACCAAAAAAAAAAAAAAAAAAAAAAATCCAAGCTGTAAAGTTCTTTGATGTACTGCTTAGTGTTGTGGTATTCTGTGAAAAGTCCCAGCATGAGGAGAATTAAAGCTTATTTTCTTGTGTCTTAAAAATAAAATCCGTGGCTGAGCTACGCATATCTTATTAGCAAAAAAATCCCTAAACCACAACATGTTAGAGGTAATGACTAAGCTTTACTTGAAGTTTTCTTACTCATCCCTCAAAGCAGCAGAATAATCTCAGATAATAATTAACATGGCACCTTACAAATATGTATGGAAATCTGCAAAGTTACAATGCAGATTTTAATACCAGATACAACTAAACCTCTTTTACTGGTTCCTTTGGTAAAACAGGTATTCTTAGCTCTCCTCTCGGAAGCAAGCCTGGGGCCACAGAGCAGAAAACCTCTGACCCCAGAGTAGAATCTGGCTGGGATTTGATTTTCATTAAGGAACATACCCTACCTTTTTCCCCTGTTGGTTATGTGCATACGGGGGTGGGTGTGGGTGTGGGTGTGCGTGTGCATCTGTGATCCAATTTGACTTAAAATTTAGGAATTAGAGATTATCCTAATAAACATACTAGGATCTTCACCGCCTCTATCTTGAATTTTAGTGGATGAAGGGCTTTTGTTTCATCTTTCCTCATTTTCACATTAAAATGAAAAAGGTAAAATATTTCATTTTCTGCCTCAATGAAGAAGCAATTTCAGTATTTAAAGGAATTAAATTTCTGGGCACTAGAACAGGGGAAAAAATATTTCCACACATTTTAAGTTGTACACGTAAAATGTAATTTCTTTTCTGTTCAGCATAGTAGCTCAAGAAGTACTCACTTTCTGAACAATCTTTTAATAATGCTTCTGTGATTTTAAAGCGTAAAGAACTTCCTGCACCAGGAGGTTTGCCTGCAACCTTCAAGCTCTCAGTCGTTCCTTGTCCTTGTACCATTATGGCATCTATTACAGTCAAATTATTTCTGTGTACAAAGAAAATGGGGAAACATTCATAAAAGGATTATGCAGTCTATTGCTCCTGCAAGCTTCTCTACATACTGTGAAGTTATATCCCAAATCCGGAGGACAGAAATACAAGCAGTTCCACAGATAATTCCCCACAATACGGAAGTGAATAGCGGGGGTGTCAAACAGCATTTGCAAGACAAAAACTCAAGAAATCACAACACTGCGTACAAATAAAAGACCCATTGAAGTACTACTAAAAGTTTATATTTCATCATCCTATTAATGTATCACATCTGATACAAAAGTGAAAGAGTTATCAGAGCTCTTTACTAGAATGACTGAACTTGCATTGCAGCTTGATCTTGCAAATGGCATCTAGAGTCTCTACTGTCAAGACATGTATGTAAGAATTCAAGGCTCCAAGTATTGGTGGGTGAAAAGCTGGACATGAGCCAGCAATGTGCGCTCGCAGCCCAGAAAGCCAACCGTATCCTGGGCTGCATCAAAAGCAGCGTGGCCAGCAGGTCGAGGGAGGTGATTCTGCCCCTCTGCTCTGCTCTGGTGAGACCCCACCCAGAGTGCTGCGTCCAGCTCTGGGGCCCTCAGCACAAGAAGGACATGGACCTGCTGGAGCGGGTCCAGAGGAGGGCCACAAAAATGACCCGAGGGCTGGAGCACCTCTCCTATGAGGCCAGGCTGAGAGAGTTGGGGTTGTTCAGCCTGGAGAAGAGAAGGCTGCGAGGAGACCTTACTGCAGCCTTTCAGTGCTTACAGGAGGCTTATCAGACAGACACAGAAAGACTTTACCAGGGCCTGCAGTGACAGGACAAGGGATCATGGTTTTAAACTAAAGGTGGGTAGATTTAGACTGGATATAAGGAAGAAATTCCTTACAATGAGGGTGGTCAAGCACTGGAACAGGTTGCCCAGAGAGGTAGTGCATGCCCCAGTCCCTGGAAACATTCAAGGCCAGGCTGGACGGGGCTCTGAGCAACCTGATCTGGTTGAAGATGTCCCTGCCCGTGGCAGGGGGGTTCAACTAGACGACCTTTAAAGGTCCCTTCCAACCCAACCCATTCTGTGATAAGTGTAACAGTGTATTTATATTAGAAAGTACGTACTGAATACAGTTTAACTGCTGTAAAACACACCACAACTACATTTAAATTAAATCTTTCTCCAGACACATGGGATTCTACAGTTATTCTTGCAAAAGTGATAGTTTCTTATTGACAGCTGATCACAAGTATGATCTTATATATAAATAAAAAACATCAGAAAAAAAACTCACGCTCATTTCAGAAATATCCACCATACCTGATAACAATTAATGATGAAACAGTTTTATTAAGAACTGGAGTGAACTTTACTTTGACAGACTTTCTCTCACCAGGTTTTAATATTAGGCTTAAAACTGAATGACGAGCCAGGCCCTTCGTAAGTCCTACAGTGCTCTGTAGTGGCTGGACCTTAAGAGAGTAGGGAAAACAAAAGTAACACTTTAAAAATAGGAAATTTTTACATATATTTGATAGAAATGGTATTATTTTAGCTAGAAAATCGGTCTTGTCATAATGAAGTGTACTACCCAATAACATATACTGTATTTTTTAACCAGAAAGTCTGATAGCACAAGAATTTCCCTTAGTAAACCGCCTGTGTTTATTAAGAAGCAGAACATAGCAAGACAAAACTGAGCTAAACTACACCCATGTGGATTCATAAAGCTCCACTAGAAGAAAGAGTTCAGAAGTTCTTAAATGTATAAACACTAAGTTAGCATTAAGCCATTACGTAACATTTTCTATCCTCAAAATTTTCCATTGTTAAAACATTTTA